GCAGATGTTTAACATATGCGAGTATAAATATTGATCTATGCTTTTACATGAGCACAGCCATTTTTGCAATATAGCCGCAGAAATTTTATTTATTTAAGTTCTTTTTGCACTCTGCACTATTTACTTTCATAATCAATCGAAACGTGCTTTGCAATGTGCAAACATGTCGCATTTAATATCAATCCACTTCTCTCCCAACGATATTGTGTTGTTATCTGTGATTCATTGTTTTGGTTTTCTATGAAAAAAAATGTTTTATCTTACTCTTCCCTCGGACCCTCTCTCCATAGACATGATAAGCTGTTAGCCACTGATTTTATGGGCGCACTCGAGATTTTGTTGGTTTGTATATTGCTACTGGCTACTTTGCTACATTGCTACATTAATTAATAAATTTATAGGAATATACATATACATATATATGTATATGGCAAATCTTTATCATAACATAAACATATGCACACATATATATACCTTACAGCATATAGAGCAATATATTATCTGAAGTAATTGAAACACAAAGCCAAGTGATATTTCAAAATTTCTTATCAAATGTCTTCGAGTGAGGCTTCTAATGAAATCGATTGAATTCCGCAAAGCTAATCTTTGCTTGTGAATAACGTGTACGAGTAAATCGACGAACAGAACAGAATATATAAAGCATAACATCCCGATGTACTTAAAAAATCGGAATTGGGAATTGTGTAATTCATTTCGAAGCTAAAACAAAAGAAAACATGACTGATTTTTTAAGAAGTGAAGTCATTTTTGCACACGAAATATGCAAGCCGATATCATTGTTTTAAGATTGTAAAAGAATGAATTCACATATTTTTTTATTCCTAGAAATATTTTTTATGGTAATCATTTATATAAGCTTATGAACTTACAACACGATATTATACGAAAACTTATCTCTTACAGTACAACAACCCAAGATCTGAAAAACTACACTATAGACATTCGCCCTGCTGTTGATTTTGCATCATACTTAATATCTTCGGGTCATTTAAATGTGCTAAATGCTGCAAATAACTTAAAATAGATAAAACTGCCTTTAAACGCAATTAGATGTTGGTAAAATGTATCTGGGACAGCAAAGAAGCCCAAATAATATCTATATAGCTGACTTTTAAGAAATAATTAGTATATTATTTAGTTTATTTTTATAATGTATGCAGACATTTTCATCATGTTGTGCTGATAAACACGTAGGATATTAAAAAAAGATAGATAGACAAAGCAATACACTCCAATATCTCTTCTGGACCAATTCATCTTTGCAGACCCCATCCACAGCAATTTTTGATTAAATCTGTGGAAGATTTGATTTTTTGCATGAAAATCTTTTTCTACCCAGAAATTCTATATAAAAGGCAATTGATATTATTTGTAAAAATTTTAAATTTTGACTTATGACATCCTCAGAGACCTCAAGATTGATCCGATCAAAAAATACATAAAGCATAGAGCCCTGAAATTATTTACGATAACTGACAGGCTTACCAACACCGCGTTATCGAATCTTAGAATGGTTACAGGCTCCACGGGTAGTTATGCAGATCTGAGGTCAGTTATTGCTTAATCTGATGAAGTGATAAACAACAATCCAGTCAAGGCGTAGAGTGGGGTTATGGAGTAACCTTGCAGTTAATAGAGAGTAAAAGTGCTCAAGTGTACTGACTTAACTAGCCTCAAAATAATAATAAAAATAAATATTTATTTATTTTTTGAAATATTAAAACCTGTTCGTAAATTTTTTAGTGGCAACGAAGAAGCTGTGAGGCATATTTAGGTCAATCAAGACCAATCATAGCGATTAATTGTTAGAAATTATATATAGAAAGAGTTATTTTCTTATTGACATTCTGTCGTCGGTATAAGAAACTTTAAAGTGCACCATGTTGGAGCTTAAAAACATGGCGTTGAAGTGCATACACAAGTAGCCCTTATAGACGATGTTGAAGTTTGTTGTTATAACATTCATCAGGCCTCCTAGGCTATTCACAATCTTATCAGAAGACAAAAGAAGAAAAGAAAAACATTGAATCGCTTGCAACTTAACTTGCACACACAATTAAATATTATGAACACTCTACACACACTTCATATATTGGAGTCAGCTGTTACTACATATGATGTTACCGAATTCCGCAGCAATTGGTTCATCTTGTCATTATTATTATTATTTTGAATTATTAATTTTTATTTAAAATTATTTTTGTTTTGTTTTTTTTTTTTGTAAATGGGATACTCACCTGAGAATTTGTTGCTTTATACTGTTGTATTGTTAATCCGTTAGCGTAACTAAATCAATAACAAAATAAAATGGCTTGTCTTTGTGTATTTGTTGTTGTCTTATGTTATTTTAAACAATTAATGTTGTATATCTATACTGTGTGTATGTATGCACGCATGTACGTATAAACAATAATATTACGCAGTATCTTACTAGTTTACACTGAAACTGAGTTGATTGCCGCCTTCTCGTTTGCGAATTCAATTAAATTTTAAATACTTGCAATTTTGCAATATTTTGAAGTCCAATTTTACAATATAAAATATATATTTAATACAAGACCATTGCTACCAAACACAACAACGAACAAATTTGTAATGAAAATGTTGTAAAAACAATTGACATTATTAATTCTGTATGGGAGCCTACTAGGTTTTGTTTTTAATTGTCTCTCAATTTTTAATTGGAGTTTTGTTTTGTTAGATATAATTATTGTGTACCGTGCGAATAATGGCGGAATGTGTTATCAGCTGTTCGCTCTCTACAAACTTATTGTTTTTCAATTTTCTTTTGTTTCTCTTCGTTAAGAGCTGCCATGTTGCTAAAAAAATTTTATTAAAAAGCCCGTAGTTAACATGACATAGCATATTATAATAACGAACCGATGCAATATTAGTTTTTGCAATTTTTAAAAGACTGGCACTTATAAGATAAAGATTTAAAGTTCATTAAAGAATATTTGATTTAAAAAAATTATTTGTTTTCAACTAAACACGAATATTATATTCAGTAAAAAATTTATTCAAATGGACCATCTGGGAGCTTAAAAAGACTTGAAGTGGACTTGAAGTTTGTATACTAGTAGCCTTACCGACGTTCTAGCTTAAAACACTTGGATTAGTATAAAGATAACTATTGCATTATAATGACAATATACATTAGTTTATTGTGGTGCATCATACAAGATCAACACTATCATTACCCTTATTTATACATTTTATATATTGTATTACACTAAAATTCTAAGGTACAATCTGAAATTTCAGGTCCCCACTATAAACTATTGCTGCTGCGTAATAAAGCAAAGTACATTGAACGCAAAGAAGAGGACACTTTATATGTAATTGATAAATTGGTATGAGATATTGGTATGAGTTTTTTAAATGTTGCGAAATAGCTTTTACGTGAAAAGTTGAAGATATTATTTTTGGCATATTTTACTTTTTTATTATCATAAACATAACAATTTTGTTCAAACAAATAAATAAATATTCGGTCTGTATGTGTGGTTTTAAAAGATGCCTCACTTTCTGTAAGACAAGTTGAAGTAGATAAAGCCAATATAATGTCCATATTTGAAGGAAACCAATTAATAACGACTTGTGAGACTAAGCGACGACAGACTAAACTGGACGATCACGTGGAATATCTTAGTTTAGTTTCAAATTAGGGTATCATTTGCGTCATACGTAAAGAACATGATTAGCTCTTGGATCATAACAATATTGTAAAATATATGAATTGCTTGACAGCTTCATACATGACAATTCGTTTATTTTATAAGATACTTTTCAAAGAAGTTAAGCAATTTAGTATGATTATTATATAAAATATTTTCACGAAAAAATTAATACAAATTTTAAAAAAATTTGATTTGATTTCTAAACTTTGCATACGTTGAGTTTTTGTTATAATCCGATTTTGTTAAATTTAATTTCAGGTACTAACAAACCGTGCACAGTTTCTTAGGCACTGTAGTAAGAAACAAACGTCAGTACAAAATAGAGTAAAACAAAAACAACAAAAGAATAACAATACGAAAGAATAATAAATTAAAGGTGTATAAAATAATTGCTTGCATAAAAAAATTAATAAATTTATGTATATAATATATATAAAATAATTGTAAATAGTTGTAGTTAGTGTAAAGAAATATAATTGTGAATTTTAATTTAGTGCAATATTGTAGAATTGTAAAAATAAAAATGAGTGCAAAAAAATTAATTTTTCGTCAAGAAAGTGAAGAATCATCTAATGGATCAGTAACGACTCCCACTTTAAGTCGTTTACGTGATACATTTCGACGATCCGAAAGTCTTACATCGCAAATTGGCACAATAGTTTCGAATGCAGCACAGGCTGCATCCGGAGTTGTCACTGGTACGAGCACAATTGGCGCTGCTTCAGAAGTAACGCCAGGATCGAGCATGTATACACCCACCGAATCATCACCACCACCACCACCACCAACTAAGAAAAAGTCAAGTAAGTTGATTTTTTTTATTAATAAAAATATATTTTTTTTTTGGAAATAATTACTCGTTTTTAAAATATATAAAAGTACGAATTTTTGATATGCGTTTCTTCATAGTGATTAGTGATAAGGAATTTAATCTGTAATGTCTTTGTTTTTATTGTTGTTTGTTTTATTGTTTTTAAACAAATTTGAAATAAAAATAATTAATGTGTATAGAAACATTTTCTATATTTTACAAGGTACTCGTATGACTATCTTTTATTATAAACACTGCTTGAAACCACTAGGTATGTAAGTGTAACTGATGCACTTCAGCTACTTTATCGTATTGTAATATTATATCATTTCAGTGAAATAATATAATAATGTTAAGAATATACTTTATTCTTAACAGGTGTAATTTTGGTTTTCATTCGAAGAGCGGAATATTTTTTGTTTAGCAAGATCAATTAGTATTAAAAAAGAAGTCATGGACTTTTTAGGAGTCAGTATCTGACAGAAATTCTGACTACTACATAAAATATATTATAATTTATAATTTATATTAAAATTTATTTTTTTGTATTTATGTAAATTATTTAACCATATTTAACTGCAAATATTTACATATATTCGACATATTCGACATATGTTAGAAAAATAATAGTTAAATAGCTTATATAAATGTAAAAAAAATTATTAATAGCAATTAAAAAGTATATATTAACTTTGAATAGGTGATAATAATAATGGCCTATAAGTAGCAAGTTATTTCCCTACATTTAGTTTAATAAAAAAACAAAGAAGAAAAACATTTATCAGCTGTTAGTGCAACTTTTATTCTTCCTAATCAGAACTTTATTTTTCAGCTAAATTTTCACCACAGTGGTGAAAACTTTGATATAAGCTTCTCACAACACACAGTGTGTGTTGCAAATGACTTTTATTTTGATTATTGCAGGAAAATCAATAATTTAACAATTCCTAAAAATTCGTTGAAAATTGCACACGAACGGAGCATGAGCAAAAGTTGTTGCAAGCAATACTTTCAAGCAGCAATAATTATAAAATTTGTGTTAATTTTAAGTAATTTTAGTTTTTGTGAATTTTGAATTAAATTTCTTAATTGCAATACAATAAAAATTTATCTCAGAAATTTTGTAATAAAGTGCAACTGCAACTGGGCAAAGTTGTGAATCAAAAAGGTAATCACGTAAATAATCCTGAATCATTTCGATTTTTCACAAAAGTGTGCAAAAGTCAATTGTGTTGTCACCTCTACGGTCCCATAATATTATTTCAATTTCTCTATTTAATTTTATGTTCTCAAGGAGGCGGAAAGGTGAAGTGACCACCAATATTGTACATTAAAGGCAAATATTATTAAGCATTTTGTCGTAACTAACATGCGTACCTTGGTCGAAGACACCAAAAAAATTGCATTGAACAATAACAATATTGGCACAACTTCTAATAATATTGCAACTTCAACTCTAACTGCAACAGCAACTGCAACAAATAAAACAAGAAACATTACAAAGCATTACAAATCGTTGAATAAAAATTGTAAAATGCAACAGCAACAACAACAGCAACAAAGTGCAAATCTCAGCAGCAATGGTGCACTTCAGAAACAGAACAGGCAGAAGCAGCATCACCAACAACAGCAACAACAACAACAAAAACAGCAACAGCAGCACAACAATAATTCTACAACAATTGCAATTCCAAAAGCAGCACATGCCAACACGAACGAAGAAATCGCCGGCGGTGTGCAAGACACCATCTATTTGTGTAATTTTCGAGTGTCGGTCGATGGCGAATGGTTGTGCCTTAAAGAGTTGGCTGATCTAGACATAAACCAGCAGAACGGTGCTCCCACGATCGCTGGACGCCAAACGCATTTCGGCAACAAGAACAAGCGCTACTCAGGAATGTCAGCCAATGGCTTGGAGGATAATGGTATATTGGCAATACAAAATTTAATCAGTCGTCGTTTGAATCATGAGCGCGAACACGTTCATAAAACAAATAGTCAGCACTTGCTTACAACAAGACACGCACAAGATAATGGCTTATGTGGTGTTATTGGTGGTTCTAGTACTGGTGGTGAATGGTCTAATCTTTGTAGGTTGCTTCTTTTACGCATCACAATTTTTATTTTGATTTCTTTCTTCGGTTTACTACTTTTTATGCATTTTTATTTTGTTTTAGTTGCCAAGAATTGCACGCAAACGAAAATATTTAATCTGAATTTTAGGATCTAAATTTGTGTTCTTAAGTGCTTTGACCAAGTGACACACAAATGATGAATTGAACTATATAAAAACGTTCTTACACTGTATAATTGCCGACATTTCCTTTGTGCAGTAGTGCTTTTTATATCATTCACGACGACAAATTTTGAAGTGCCTTTCCATAGCAATTAAGTGGAAAAGGCAAGCCTTTGTTTAGTCAATAGAAGTCCAAGTAAAGTGTACCTGTGCTAGAGTGTAGTTTGAGTGTGTACTCAAGGCAGCAAGAATGCTCTTTTAATATTTTATTAAAAAACTATTTAATATTTTTCGCTTTAGAACCTATTGCCATTA